ATAAAGAGAATGATAATAGACCAACATTAAAACATCTCGTGGCTTGTTTTTTTTGTGTTTTTCGTTGACACTTTTTATTTAAGTACTAAAATGTTTGTGAACAATATGAAATTTCAAGTTTACAACCGATTTCGATATACAAGCTCAAAAATTTCGGGGCAACATCATTTTTCGAATTGTCCCCGAATCCCGTTTGTCCCGTCCCGAAATTTTTTGATTTGTCCCGTCCCGAAAAATTTTCGGGACAGTCCCGTTTGTCCCACGGGACGGAACAAACGGGATTTTCGGGATTCGGGACTGTCCCGCAGGACTCTAGTGTGTCCTCCTCCCTCGATCACACCCACACCTACATTCATTCTATCAATTCTATACAAGAAGAAAAAAAAATTAAGAAACAAAGGATTTCATTTTGCTTCTGACATCAGTTAGATGATATTCAGTTTTATTAATCGACTAATCGTCAGTCATGTATTCGATGCATCCAATAATATTTGACAAAATTGCTATAGAGTTAGTTGATGTGACAAACCATCATCAATATAAGAAGACTGATTGATATATTGAGGGTTATTGTAATTACTTTTTTTCGTTTTCTTCTATAGATTTTTTTCTGAAAAAGGAATTTTGAAATTAAACTAATCTACTGGTAGAAACAAACATAGGACATTTTTATTATCAGAGAACGACATGAAATTATGTTTTTCTTGAGCTTCAATAAGTTACAAACAAATAAATAGTGCACATCGATAATTTAGAATTTCTGTGCAATAAGTTGATAACTGAGGACAGCTGTTGATAATTAACACCGCCGTATACCTAAGCAAAATAGGTATAGTATGGACTTATGGAATTTATATTGACTTAAACTCATTGCACACGACTCGATTATATATTTTTAGAAGTCGTTCGATTTTACAGAAAAATTCTTGTTTATTATCTTTAGTCTATGCATCAGTGATTTCTAATCAGCATAAACTTTTACTTGTTTATATATTTATTTTTTGTTGACTAGCAACCATTTGTTTTATTTAGTATTATTATCGCGATCATAAATTTTTTAAAAAGTTGTATTTACTATTTTTTTCGTTATGTCATCGGATCACGTGTTGTCTTTAATCCTTCGTTGGTCTGTATTCGGAACATTTTTTGGTCATGGATGTTTAGCTGTTCGTTTCGTGCCAGGATGGTTGCCATATCTTCGGGTAGTTGGCATTGGTCATGAATGGGCTCGGTAAATTCTTATCAGATCTCTCTCTATTATTCTAATATTTTCAGTTTTCTAGTCGTTTTATGCCAATTATTGGTCTTTTGGATGTTATAATTGGTTTTATATACTTGTTTACAGATTCTTGTCCTTTAATTCATTGTTGGGCATTTGTCTGGGGTTTAAGTACAGCAGTGATACGTCCACTTTCTGGTGAATCAATTTTCGGATGTATTGAACGAACAGGAAATTTTTTACCAGCCTTAGCTTTACTTTGGCTCTGTAGTGGTCAACATTTTGGTTATTATCTTTTTGTATGCGTTGGTATGATAGGTGCACTTGCAATATCTGGACTTATCTTTAAAATGACTGGCATATTTAATAAATAAGACTATCAGAATTTATTTATGTCATATATATATATGTATAATAATGCAATGTCATGTTTTTGCTTCATAATCTTTTTTTCATTGAGAATTTCTTTTTCTTTTTTCATTACATTTGAAACATTACTAATTTTAGTTGAATAAATCTTCGGACTAAACCAAAGTACTACTTTACTTATCTTGTGTCAATTAATATTTCATGCCAGAAAAATTTGAAATAGTGAGTTCAATGTAGAGGAGAATATCTTCGCTGTTAAACAGAGATGGACAACTCCAAATCCAGAGCTGGAATTAACTTCGAAATTGGTGTTTGTACTCATTAGAGTTGAAGTGGAATTTTACAAAAACCGAAGTAGAGTTGCAGCGAAGTTGGCCACCTATGCTCATAAACGACATGATTATTTTTAATATATCGTCTTTTACTGAAATTTTCGATAAATTTCGTCATCTTCTGATTGAAAAAAATTTTTTCTGATTGCGCATCCTAGAATTTTCGTAAGAGTTTCATTACAGTCTATCGTTTGTTTTTGTTTTACAGAGCATGTGAAGGTTCGGTTTTTGAATTAAGATTTTTATATTATTATATAAAAAAAAAACACTTCTATAATTGAATGACCATTTTTTAAGAATTTTTCAAGATATTAAAATTTATCAAGATTTTCCTCAGCATAGACGAAAAGCAGGCATTCCAGTCTAACAGGCTTTTTCAAATAAATAATAATAATTCATAGAATAAGGGTTTATAAAAAATTTCGGCTTGCCAAATGAGTTGTTTGTAACATCTGCTTGTTAAATATCTCTTGAAAATGAATATTTGAAGATGTTTTGCGGATTTTGGAGTTTTTGTTCGACTAGAAGCAAATTTAAAAAAACCCAAAAAATCAGCCAATGAAAACAGTGCCTAGTACAGTACTGGACAAAAGTAAGTATCCTCTCCTCTCTTAGTTCCTATGAGAGCTAAATATCTAAAAACTCTTCCTCAGGTAGTCCACAGATGATGTAGGTCAGCGATAACATCAGTGCCAAAATCCCTCAAGCCAGAATAGAGTTATAACAGGTTGCATTTACGATCACTGCGAATCCTGTAACACGAGATGAGATAATTATTTTGAGTCGCCCAATCCCTCATTTTGTATCCCTGCACTATCATCTTTTGAGCAATGGAAGTTCATGAGTTAGATTACAGCTTCATGCTGAAAGATCAATAACTGTTCATGTTATACCTGAAAAATAACATAAAAATCAGCAAATCTATTTTTCTACTAGAAGTGATATTTGTCGTCATATGTCAAGGTTTCACTGGAAAAATCGTTTTGGACGGTTCGAAGTTCTTAGAAAAATAGTAAAATCTAGCTGCCTTCGTCGAATCAGACAGTATTGGAACTCTAGTTGCTGTGAATTATGTTTAAAACTGCCCCAGATAGTTTAAAGCGTGGGAATTTCTAGAAAGCGTCGTCTAAAGTCTTAAAAACACAGTTTTTGTATAACATTAAATAAATGATGTCCTTGTATACTGTAATTTACTATTAAACTCCCGTGAAAAACTCTCTAATATGTCTAAAACAGGATGATTTCTATTGTTCAACAAAACTCGAAAGCCGTCCAAAACGGTTTTTTTCAGTGAAATCTTGACATGAGGACGAATATCACTTCTAGTAGAAAAATAGATTTACTGATTTCTATGTTATTTTGCAGGTATAGCATGAATAGTTATTGATCTTTCATTCAGGGATGGGCGAGTCAAGCCATTTTTCGAGTCGAGTCGAGTCCGAGTCATTTCGAAATGGTTTCGAGTCGAGTCAAGTCGAGTTACCGAGACTTCCGAGTCGAGTCGAGTCAAGTTAATTTTGTTATTTTTTTTTCTTTTCTGTTTATCGGTCTAAAGAACACTAACAATGAGTTTTTCAGAAGATGATGTCTAGTTCTTAGTTTTTATGCACAAAAAGAAGGGAATAATCCTATACAAGATAAAATGGTATAGCTACTATAGATTTATCAACAAAACCGAACATCAAGACGAACTC